CGTGGGCTCAGGTGGAGCAAGATAGAAGGAATTTGGGAAATTCCCATCTAGGTAGTCCCCGGCATGGGCATTGGTACGTGGGATTTTATTGGCGAGATTAGAACCTATGGTTGAGAAGAAGTCGTTTATCTTGTTAGCTGTGTCGTGGGTTGCAGTGGTGTTTCATTAGGTTTAGTTAGGACAATATTCTTGTTTTTTTTTCAGTTTGTGGGTCCCTAGAATCTGAGAGAGTGTTTTCCAGGTCTTTTTTATATCTCCTCTTGTGTCAGTGAATCTACTGGAGTAGTATAGTTTTTTGGCTTTCTTTATTACTTTGGTGAGGACTGATGAATAGTGTTTAAGAATATCTTTGTGTATTAAGCCCTGTCTATATTGATTTTCATATTGGTGTTTCTTATCAATGAATTTCAGAATCGTGCTGGTTAGCCATGGGTAACCAAGCCGTTTGTTTGTGATCTGTTTCGTTTTTATAGGACAATGTTTGTTGTATAGTCTAAGTAGTTTGTTAAGAAAATGTCTGTCCAGTCGTCAATACCATTGGCCTTGGAGAATTCTGTAGGCCAGTCAACAGTCTCTAGGTCAGCTGTGAACTTCTTTTATTGAGGCCTCATCATGGAGTCTAAATGAGACTTTGTTGTATTCAAGTGGTGGTTTACTAATGTTTGTCAAGAGGAAGGTAGGGTAGTGGTCTGTAGTGCTATCTGTGATTATCCCTGATTTAAGGGGGGCTAGTATATTGGTCCATATGTGGTCTATTATGGTTGCACTTGTTTCAGTGAGCCTGGTTGGTTTAGTTATTGTTGGTATGAGAAGTGTGTTGTTCATATTGTTGATGAAATCAGTTACAGGCTGATCATCTAGTAGGCCAAGGTTGATGTTGAAGTCTCCAGCTAAGAGAAGGTGGTGCTTATTCATTTGTCTGTTTGTTATTAGTGCCTTTAATTTCTCACTGAAGTTTGGGATGTTAGTGTGGGGTATCCGGTAAATGGCACCGATTGTTATAGGCGTCTTAAGGTTTTTTACAGTAAAATTAGCAAAAATGTATTCTCCATATTCATCACTAAAGCAATTGGTGCTGATACAAGATAATTGGTTAGAGTAATAGATTGCAATACCACCCCCAACTTGGTATGGTCTGCAGTTATGGATTGCTGTGTATCCTGGTAGAGAGTAGATATCTATTGTGTCCTGCTTAACCCAGGTCTCAGTAAGAATAATGCAGGAGAAGGGTGTCTTTAGTGATTCAAGGAGTGCCAGGAGGTCATCATAGTGTTTGCTTAAGGACCTGATGTTGTAGTTAAGTACTGATAGACTTTTATCATTGTTTAGGATAGTGCTGGCTTGTGATGCTGTGTAGTAAAGGAAGTTACTTTCCAATAGGTTTTGATTGTGTGTCAGATTATGTAGGTTTAGATCAGGGTCAACGTGATCAATCATCTTCTAGGTTTAAATTATGGTTATTTATATCCTGAGTTGTGTGTTGAGTTTTAGTACTGATATCTGTAGTGGTGGGAAGTTTGGACAAGTGTATAGCTATAGCATTTTGGTCATGTAGAGTATAGTCTAAAATACACATAATGAAGTTGGTGTTGTCTATGTGTTGTGCTGGAATGAACTAAAGTACAACTAGGTATAAACTAGTAATATAAAAATACAAATTTAAAATAGCACAAGACTCTCACTTGTAATTGCACTAAGGTCTAAGTAATGACTCTGGTATAGTCTATGTATTGACCTAGAGTGAGCTATAGTACAACTGAGTTTAATCTAAAGATATAAAAAAGGCACAAGACTCTCAATTGTAATTGCACTAAGGTTGTAATATTAAGTTGTTTACAGAAATAGAGTATATAACTAGTTTAAATTGACAAGATAAAATTCAAATTAAAGTACCAAAGAATAATAGTAAAAATAACAATGGTTAATGTTTGGTTATTGATATGTATTGTAGAGATGGTTTGACAGGGTTACACAGTACTGAGGCACACAAGTTGCCTAAGGGTATAACAGGTACACAGGTAACTAGTTAGACAAGATAATATTAAAGTTGGAGTTGAAATAAAAACTTGAAATTTGGTTATTAAAACAGATAACAGGTAATTAGACAAGTAATAGTTAGTTAAATGTCAAAAAATGTTGAGAGTAAATTGAAAATTTGTATAAAATGGTAATTATTAATTTTAGTAATGTATATCATGTAAATATTTAAAAATATGAAATTAGTAATATGGACAGATAATAGTATCAATTCACTATATGTTTAAGCAAAAATAGTAAATAAGAAAATTCATAGGTTGTTTATGCTTACTATTAAAATCACAAAATGAGGTAGTTGATTATTTAATTACTAAGAGATTGTACAATGAAATTTGAACAATAAAATTTGAACAACACTGCAGACACAATACCAGCAACACTACATACACAGCACCAGCAACACTGCAGACACAACACCAACAACACTGCAGACACAATACCAGCAACACTACATACACAGCACTTGCCAACACACCACAAGACACAACACCAACAACACTGCAGACACAATACCAGCAACACTACATACACAGCACAGCAACACTCGCAGACACAACACCAACAACACTGCAGACACAATACCAGCAACACTACATACACAGCACTTGCAACACCACAGACACAACACCAACAACACTGCAGACACAATACCAGCAACACTACATACACAGCACTTGCAACACCACAGACACAACACCAACAACACTGCAGACTCAATACCAGCAACACTACATACACAGCACCAGCAACACTACATAACACACGCAACATACATCAGCACACAGCAACACTACATACATAACACACGCAACACTACAAACACCAGCAAACCCGCAACACTACTACACTAACACACTGCAACACACATACATAACACACCGCAACACTACATACACAGCACCAGCAACACTACATACAAACACACGCAACACAATAACAACCTACATAACACACGCAACACTACATACATAACACACGCAACAACAGCAGACACACACCGCAACACTACATACATAACACACGCAACACTACATACACAGCACCAGCAACAACTACATAACACACGCAACACGTTAATTATCTTACGTCAAGCACCACAACACATTTCCGGCTGTATACGCCCTTCACCCAGTGAACTCCGATCCATGCTGCGTTATGTTGCTATGCCACCCACACCACCCATTACAACCATTACACCGCTAACCACCCCTCCAGCACTGAGCAAATTACCAACTCACTTCCACTAAAATCACGTTTTTCTTCTACCTCAACTCTGATTTCTTTATATTTCCACACTTATTCCTCCCTAAACTAATCTACCTATCCACCCTTCATCACCACCACCACACCTACATACTTCCGCCGCAGGAGGACAACAGACCGGAAAAACCGATGCGAAACACACGCACCTGAGCAACTTCTTACGCAGCTCACCCGCTCACTCAGCGCATCTCCCGCTGGCGACTGCCCTTCCCCCAACCTCATCAGCATATCCAACCCTGCAATATTTCTTCAATATCACCCCCAAGGCATTACTAACCACTTCAGACACTTCAGCAAAATTCTCGTAGTTTAAGCACGCACTGTTTTTGAGACTGGCTCGCGTGGATCGTAACCTTATCTTTTCTGTGAGTTCGTTACAAATTTCATTTCAGGTAACACTTGAAAGATCTCCTCAGCTTTCCCGCCGCCTTGGGTTCGTGAGGAGGACGGCGACTCGAAGCATTCAGAGGAAGAAACGAGACAGGACCACCGGTTCTTTACAGATATATTCTCTTAAGAAACCGACAGGATCTCGGATCTGGTGAACACTCACACGTCACTCACCCAGCTACTTTTATCTTAGCTATCGCAGCTCGACAGGTGAGTTTGTGTCATAAAGAATATCAGAAGGCTACGCCCCTGTGACCTACCTGCTTCAAGGACACTCATCTTATATATCTGTTTAATCAGGCTGAACACAAGCATGAGGAGCCAGTCTATCAGTATCCTGTCTGCCAACGTTAAGGGTTTCATTACCAATGTTGGTGAGCTCACGCATGGTTTCATGCGTGAGCTGTAGAGACAGTTCTGAACGACAGGAAGCCGGAGAATTTTGCTAAAATTGCTGGCTACACTTCATGGAAGTGACGAGGCAAGCAAGGTCATAGAGGCAGAGCTGTCATGTATTTTAGTAAAAGTGCACACGCCCATCCAGTTGCTGTTGTCATTCCTGATCACAAGGAAATGATATCCTTCAGAGTATGCATAAACCTTAGTACGACCTTACTAACGTGTGTAAAATACAGACAGTAATGGCAGCAAGATGACCCAATCAACTTTCTGATGAAAAATGTTGACTAATTTCTACTGCAACATGTCACCTGATTATGAACACTGGTGACCTCACCCAATAGTTTAAGCACAGGGCTTTTAACAAACTTCTCGCACTGATCGACATAAAAACCTCCATAGACTTCCTTATCTCCGGCTTCTTCCTTGACCCAGTAGTGAATGATCTATCTGAAGTCACAGTTACTGACAAATCTCTTGGTTATGTTGACTCATCTGATCCCAAGGTCGTCTTTACCTCACTGAATATACCAACAGAAACATTCCAGGAATCATCACGCACAACAGCCTCCAACTGGACTGCTCTTCTAGAAGTGACGTTGATAACCAAGTGAACACCTTCACGAAATACATCCTTAATCCCTAACACAAGTATATCCCTCACCAAGAAGCTGCTGCTGCTAGATACAAGGTTTAAAGAAAGTACAAGAGGTCTCCCATTAACTGTAACGGGAACCTTAACATGCAAGTCCATCGGTGAATGAAGTCCAAAACTAAGCCATCTCTAATGGAGAGCTGACAAAAAAAAAAAAAAAAAACTGGCATCGCCCCACAGACCATTCACATCCACCCAAACACCTTCATACCTTCTAACTTGCCCACACTCTCCCCAGAACTCCCTCAGTACTCACGGCACATCTGAAGCGAGGAGGTGGAGGGTCAGTGCCAGCAGCAACAGTAGTTGAGGCTAGAACCTTAGGGTCGTGCAGTGCCAGGTATCTCTGTCCATCAGTGCCTTCCCAGTCTCCCAGGCACTCGTACGTCTTAGCTGCCACACAAGGAAACAACGCCAGCTTAATAGAAGCTTTATTTGGTATTTTATGTAAGTTTCTTAATCTAATCTATTTTTAAATAAAAATTTTCTTTAACCTTGTTACTGTATATGAGATTCAGATGTGTCTTTCTTCTTTTAATTGAAGGTAAGAATCAAGTGGTTTTTAATAATAAAACTGGATATTTCGTCAATGTGCTGTTACCCCTATTCTGTATACTAGTTACAGTTTGGAAATAAAACCAAATTGGTTTTCCCTATCATATTCCATCACAAAAAAAAAAAAATAGTTTTTTTGTCATATTCCATCACACAGGATGGGTTTCCTTGTCATATTCCACCATAGACAGGATGGGTTTTCCCTATCATTTTCCATTACGCAGGATGATTCACACACGAAGCAGTGGTATGTATCAGCCTTAGCTGGGAGGTTTCAGTAGAGAGGTGATGAGCGTATCGTCAGTCTTGTCATGGTGGGTTCATTAGCTGCGTCAGGTTCAGAGGTTTCCTTCCAGCAGGACTGGAGTTACTATTACGTAGGCATTACCTCCTCTCGGAATTCCAGAGGAGAAAAAAATTAGGAAGGGGAAAATGGCATCATCGAATGCAATATACAGACGTTTCGAGGAAAGTAAGCGTTAATTAAAACAACATTTCGCTCCTTTTTTGCGCACCCCGTGAGCATTCTGTTTATCACAGCCGTCACACTTTGTACTCACCTAATTGTGGTTGCAAGGGTCAAGACTCAGCTCCTGGCCCCGCCTCTTCACTAATCGCTACTAGGTCCTCTCTCTCTGCTTCCTGAGTTATGTCATACCTCGTCTTAAAGTTATGTATGGTTCCTGCCTCTACTACATCACTTGCTAGGCTATTCCACTTCCTGATGACTCTGTGACTGAAGAAGTACTTCCTAACATCTCTGTGACTCGTCTGTGTCTTCAGCTTCCAATTGTGACCCCTTGTTTCTGTGCTCCCTTTCTGGAACATCCTGTCTCTGGCCACCTTGTCTATTCCACGAATTATTTTGTATGTTGTTACCATGTCTCCCCTGACCCTCCTGTCCTCCAGTGTCGTCAGTCCGATTTCCCTCAACCTTCTTCGTCATGCTGTTAGTGTGTAATTACCTTCCCACTACAGTCACACGTCACGTCACCAACCTCGTCACACTATGGTAACACAGCTGTCACACGTCACGTCAGCAGCTGACACTTCCTTGCACCTGAGGGACAACTATCGTCTCATGTACTACCCCAGTAAGAAGTATGTGCTCCCGGGTAGCTGAGGACATCCACTCACCATAAACTAGACACATGTGCAACACTTCGGTACCTTTATTGTACTACCTCAAGTAGTAGGTGCTCTCAGGTACCTCCCGGCACTTCCCAGCTAGGTCTACCATCGTCTCACTCGGTGACTTACCTTACAGTTCACTTCCCAGTTGTCCTACAGACACAGTTTTTCTCCCGTCTTCCGCCTGCCATTCTTCTTTTAATGTTTATTTTTTGCAAGCTATTGGAAACTTGGAACTGTATGGTCGCTAGCACCGACACGCCTCACATGTTCTATTTAATCTACATCAGATGCATTTATGGTAAAGAAGTAAATCCTATCTTGCTGGTTCGTCTCTCTCTCTTTCTCTCTTTCTCTCTTTCTCTCTTTCTGTGTCGCCTATGTGAGTCTCGCCCCCTCCCCCTTGATTATTTGTATATGATATCTTCTACGATTAATAGCTTCGCATTTGCCATGTTAGCTGTCCTTGCTACTTATACTACAGTGTTAACCAATGCTTTCTTGCCTTCATATTCCTGTCTCAGTCTTCTGCTATCACTGTGGGTCCCTGCAAGTCTTGACTGTGCCCACTATGTAGTTATTTGATTCACTTCAATTTATCCCTCTTATTTCTTCAAAACTTTACTCGTTTCTGATTAGCAGTTCAACTCCTTCTCTCCCTTGCTTTCTCTGTCTTTCCTTATTAATTGATATTTTTTAAGGAATATAACATCTCTTATCATTTCAGTTAAGTTTTGTCTCGGTGATTGCTATGATGTCCGCTGTTGCCTCTACTGCCCGTTCTTTCAGCCCGTCACTCCCGTTTAATAATCAGTCCTTGCTTCACTAACACACTGGGAAGTCCTTTTCTATTACTGTACTCTGCTTCGTAGTGTCCACGCTTTCTGTTCGTTGCTCATTTGTATTTAGGGAGAGAGGTGGTGCGGGGGTTAGCGCGTATGTTGTTATAGAGGGGTAAGAAATAAGACTTATAATTGTAGATAGTTATAGACCGGGGAAGGATGTGCGGCTATTGGTTGTGTTATGATAGTAGCAGGGAAGCCCTGAGTTGGACTTATCAAGAGAGGACAACTTTTTACTGGTACCCTCAACTGTTCCATCTAAATTTCCGCTCTGTCTTGATCCAGATAAACACAGTGATATCTTGCACGCCTCAAAAGTGCTATACCTAGAGTATACCTGGAGGGTGTTCGGGGGGGTCAACGCCCCCGCGACCCGGTCCATGATCAGGCCTCGTGGGGGACCAGGGCCTGATTAAATAGGCTGTTCCTGCTGGCCGCACGTAAACCGACGTACGAACCACAGCCCATCTCGTCAGGTACTGACTTTAGATGCATATCCAATTCCCTCTTGAAGACAGCCTCAAGATCCTGCTTCAGACAGGTTTTCACTAGGTTAATTTGATCGAGAGATATATAACCCTGGAAGACCTTCCGATGCCTTGAAAATCGTCTATCTGCCCTAAATTCTTCACCTCCTTCTCCTGTACACTCAATGATTATTTCAAGTTACGTACCTACTTCACCTCGTGTGTGTGTGTGTGTGTGTGTGTGTGTGTGTGTGTGTGTGTGTGTGTGTGTGTGTGTGTGTGTGTGTGTGTGGTGTGTGTGTGTATTGTGTGTGTGTGTGTGTGTGTGTGTGTGTGTGTGTGTGTGTGTGTGTATACTCACCTAGTTGAGGTTGCAGGGGCCGAGTCCGAGCTCCTGGCCCCGCCTCTTCATTGGTCGCTACTAGGTCACTCTCCCTGAACCGTGAGCTTTATCATACCTCTGCTTAAAGCTATGTATGGAAGCTGCCTCCACTACATCGCTTCCCAAACTATTCCACTTACTGACTACTCTGTGGCTGAAGAAATACTTCCTAACATCCCTGTGATTCATCTGTGTCTTCAGCTTCCAACTGTGTCCCCTTGTTACTGTGTCCAATCTCTGGAACATCCTGTCTTTGTCCACCTTGTCAATTTCTCTCAATATTTTGTATGTCGTTATCATGTCCCCCCTATCTTTCCTGTCCTCCAGTGTCGTCAGGTTGATTTCCCTTAACCTCTCCTCGTAGGACATACCTCTTAGCTCTGGGACTAGTCTTGTTGCAAACCTTTGCACTTTCTCTAGTTTCTTCACGTGCTTGGCTAGGTGTGGGTTCCAAACTGGTGCCGCATACTCCAATATGGGCCTAACGTACACGGTGTACAGGGTCCTGAATGATCCTTATTAAGATGTCGGAATGCTGTTCTGAGGTTTGCTAGGCGCCCATGTGCTGCAGCAGTTTTTTGGTTGATGTGCGCTTCAGGATATGTACCTGGTGTTATACTCACCCAAGATCTTTTTCCTTGAGTGAGGTTTGTAGTCTTTGGCCCCCTAGACTGTACTCCGTATGCGGTCTTCTTTGCCCTTTCCCAATCTTCATGACTTTGCACTTGGTGGGGTTGAACTCCAGGAGCCAATTGTTGGACCAGGCCTGCAGCCTGTCCAGATCCCTTCGTAGTTCTCCCTGGTCTTCGATCGAATGAATTCCTCTCATCAAATTCACGTCATCTTCAAACGGACACTTCGGAGTCTATTTCTTCCGTCATGCCGTTCATAAATACCAGAAACAGCACTGGTCCTAGGACCGACCCCTGTGGGATCCCGCTGGTCACAGGTGCCCACTCTGACACCTCGCCACGTACCATGACTCGCTGTCTTCCTGACAAGTATTCCCTGATCCATTGTAGTGCCTTCCCTGTTATCCCTGCTCGGTCCTCCAGTTTTTGTACTTATCTCTTGTGTGGAACTGTATCAAACGTCTTCTTGCAATCCAAGAAAATGCAATCCACCCACCCCTCTCTCTCTTGTCTTACTGCTGTCACCATGTCATAGAACTCCAGTAGGTTTGTGACACAGGATTTCCCGTCTCTGAAACCATGTTGGCTGCTGTTGTTGCGATCATTCCTTTCTATGTGTTCCACCACCCTTCTCCTGATAATCTTCTCCATGACTTTGTGTGCGTGTGTGTGTGTGTGTGTGTGTGTGTGTGTGTGTGTGTGTGTACTCACCTATTTGTACTCACCTATTTGTGGTTGCAGGGGTCGAGTCTTAGCTCCTGGCCCCGCCTCTTCACCGGTTGCTACTGGGCCCTCTCTCTCCCCGCTCCATGAGCTTTATCAAACCTCGTCTTAAAACTGTGTATGGTTCCTGCCTCCACTACGTCATTTTCTAGGCTATTCCACTGCCTTACAACTCTATGACTGAAGAAATACTTCCTAATATCTCTTTGACTCATTTGTATCTTCAACTTCCAATTGTGGCCTCTTGTTTCTGTGTCCCCTCCCTGGAACATCCTGTCTTTGTCCACCTTGTCTATTCCACGCAGTATTTTATATGTCGTTATCATGTCTTCCCTGACCCCCCTGTCCTCCAGTGTCGTCAGGCCGATTTCCCCTTAATCTTTCTTCATAGGACATTCCCCCTTAGCTCTGGAACTAACCTTGTGGCAAACCTTTGTACTTTCTCTAGTTTCTTGACGTGCTTTATCAAGTGCGGGTTCCAAACAGGTGCTGCATACTCTAGTATGGGCCTGACATACACGGTGTACAGTGTCTTGAACGATTCCTTACTAAGGTATCGGAATGCTGTTCTCAGGTTTGCCAGGCGCCCATATGCTGCAGCAGTTATCTGATTGATGTGTGCTTCCGTAGACATGCTCGGTGTTATACTCACCCCAAGATC